CTGGCCAGACAGACTTGAGTTTATAAGACTTCAAAGCCCGCCTCCACAATGACACACTTCCTCCAATAAGGCCACACCTCCTAATAGTGCCACTACCTCTGAGTCAAGCATTCAAACATATGAGTCTCTGGGGGCCATTCCTATTTAAACCACCACAGAGGTGATGGGAAGAAAGTTGGACAAGAGCTAAAAACACAAATTATCCCATGTGGTATGTGAAGAAGCATGCACCATGGAGTGAAAAGGTGGTTTTGAGACGGGGTACAGAAACTGGCAGTTAGGTAGATGTGGATTAGTATGCTAACACTGCCACTACCTAAGAAACAAACTACCCCAGTCTTAGTCACTGTTCTACTGCTTCGAGGAGACACCATGACAAGGCAACTTTTAAAAGAAAGCAATTAATTGGGGGCTTCGTTACAGATTCAGAGGGTTAGTCTATGACCATCATGGCAGGTAGTATGGTGGCATGCAGGCAGGCAGGCATGGCAAGAACTTACATCTCATTCACAAGTTGCAGGTAGAGAAAGAACAAGACTGGGTCTGAGGTGGGCTTTTGAAACCTCAAGGCCATCTCTGGTGACTCACCTCCAACAAGGCCACACCTTCTAATCCTTCCCAGATAGTTCACTGACTGTGGAACAAGCATTCTAATATATAAACCTGTGGGGACCATTCTCATTCAAATCACATAGCTCCTTTGGTTGGAAGTAGTAAAATCCATGTTAAATCAGTCTAAACACCACAAGGGGCAAAAATGTATTGGTTCATATGAGCAGGAATGGGGGGTCTTGGCACGGACAGGTTTTGGGCATGACAAGATTCTTATGTGATGGTCTTCTGCAGACCCTCAGACTAGATGATAGTGGCCATCATCAAGCTGTGTCCTGTGAAAGTCCGGGGTCTAATGCTTCCCATAGCAAGCCAGATTGGCCAGGCACAGATCTGATGATAGAGGCAGTACTTCAAGGGGAAGCAGAAATGTAGGGAGATGTGAACCAACAGGAGAGTCTGCAAGAATACTAATCTCTGATTGAAGTCACTGTTGGAAGAAGGGGACCTGAAACAAGGTATTGTGTTTGTTCCTAAGTCTGTTGTTGAATGTTTTCCAGCATCTTCATGATACCGTGAAGAGGAATCTTGACAGCGCTGCTTCCCCCCAGAATGGTGATCAACAGAATGGCTATGGAGACCTATTTCCTGGGCATAAGAAGACCCGCCGAGAGGCTCCTCTGGGCATCAGTGTGTCTGCCAATGGGCTTCCTCCTGCCTCACCCCTTGGTCAGCCTGACAAGCCTCCTGGGGGAGATGCCCTGCAGTCTGGTGGGAAACACTCCCTGGGGCTAGATCCCATCAACAAAAAGTGTATGGCAGACTCAAGCATCCACCTGAATGGAAGTAGCAACCCAAATGAGCCGTTTCCTTTAAGCCTGAGTAAGGAACTCAAGCAGGAGCCAGTAGATGACCTGCCATGCATGATCGCAGGGGCTGGAGGCTCCGTATCCCAGAGCAATCTCATGCCTGATCTCAACCTTAATGAGCAAGAGTGGAAGGAGCTCATTGAAGAGCTGAACAGGTCGGTGCCGGACGAAGACATGAAGGACCTGTTTACTGAGGACTTTGAGGAGAAGAAGGATCCAGAGCCCCCTGGTTCTGCCACACAAACCCCCTTGGCCCAGGACATTAGAAATAAGACTGAGTTCTCTCCAGCAGCCTTTGAGCAGGAGCAGTTAGGTTCTCCACAGGTGAGGGCAGGGTCTGCAGGACAGACCTTTCTGGGGCCTTCATCTGCCCCTGTGGGCACAGATTCTCCAAGCCTTGGGAGCTCTCAGACTCTGTTTCACACCACTGGTCAACCTGGGGCGGACAATCCCAGTCCAAACCTGATGCCGGCATCAGCCCAGGCCCAGAATGCACAAAGAGCCCTTGCAAGTGTGGTATTGCCTAGCCAGGGTCCAGGGGGGGCCTCGGAGCTGTCCTCTGCTCACCAGCTCCAGCAGATAGCTGCCAAGCAGAAGCGGGAGCAGATGCTGCAGAATCCACAGCAAGCTGCCTCAGCACCTGCCCCAGGCCAGCTGTCCACATGGCAGCAGGCTGGCCCCTCCCACAGTCCTTTAGATGTCCCCTATCCCATGGAGAAGCCTGCCAGCCCTCCTGGCTATAAGCAAGACTTTACCAACTCAAAACTGCTCATGATGCCTAGTGTGAACAAGAGTTCTCCTCGGCCGGGAGGGCCCTACCTCCAGCCCAGCCACTCGAACCTGCTGAGTCACCAGTCACCAAGCAACTTGAATCAGAGCTCCGTGAATAACCAAGGGGCTGTGCTGGACTATGGCAATACAAAACCCCTTTCTCATTACAAAGCAGACTGTGGTCAAGGTGGCCCTGGATCTGGCCAGAGCAAACCAGCTTTGATGGCGTATCTTCCCCAGCAACTGCCCCATCTGAGTAATGAGCAGAATTCCTTGTTTTTGATGAAACAAAAGGCAGCAAACATGCCCTTCCGGTCACTGGTTCCACCTGGGCAGGTGAGTAAGAGCCTTCCCTTCCCACTACTCTGTTATGGCACTAGTGTCCCACACTAAACTGAGTCAGTGTGTGAGAGACGGTGGCAGGAGCAGCAGAAAATGTACAAGATAAGCCAGGGTTGATCTTTGTGTTTTAGAGACAGGTCATTTGGCCCTGGCTGGCTAGGTAGCCAAGATGAGCTTGAACAACTGATTCCCCTGCCTCTACCACCCAAGTGTTGAGATTACAGGTTACTGGATTTGATGATCCTTAATAAAAAGAGTACAAGTCCTTTAGTATATCTGGGTGTGGTAGTGCACACCTTTAGTCCCAGCACTAGGGAGGCCAAGGCAGGAGGATGTCTAAGTTTGAGAACAGCCAGGGCTGTTACACAGATAAAAACTCTGTCTCAAGAAAAAAAAAAATTCCTTAATATATCTTGACTTTAACTACACAGACATTTGAGAAATCACCTAATTTAGGTTAGTTGTTGTCTCTTTCATGCCAAACAACTACATAAGGCCCCCTGTCTTAAAAAATAAAAACAAAGCAGAGGTGGTGGCACACGCCTTAAATCCAGAAAAGCTCTCAGGAGGCAGAGGGATCTCTTGAGTTGAAGGCCAGTCTGGTGTACATAGTGAGACTGTCACAAAACAACAAACCAGTTGTGATGGTTTGCAGCAATCTCAGCACAGGGATTGTGAGGCAGAAGGGTTGCCACAAGTTTGAGGACAGCCTGAGCTATAACGTGAGGCCTTGCTTGTTTAGTAAGAAAAAAAGGAGGGAAGTATAGAAAACTTAAGCATTAACTTAAAGGCAGTGTAGAGTTTGTGGGTGGTGCAGTCAGAAAGTGCTTTGGAGACAGGACCCCTGGGGGCTCACTGGCCAGCCATTCTAGCCACATTGGGAAGCTCTTGGTTCAGTGACAGACTCTGTCTCAAAAAATGAAGTGAAACAATTAAGAAAGACACTTGATGTTGACTCTGATGCACACAGAAACACTAAACAAAACTTAAAATCTAAAGATATAAAGTATCTGACAAAGCTATCCCATAACCTCCCAGGGAAGCATGTACACAAGTGGGCATAAAAAAATGTTTCCATGCTGTTCGGGGACAGCCATAAACCAAGTCTGTACTCTAAAGGCAAAGCAGAACAGCCTTTTGTTTTTGTTTGGGCTGGTTAGGGGTGGGGTATTTGTAGGGTGTTTTTTTTTAATGAGGATTTTTTGTTTGGGGTTGGTTAGTTTGGATTTGGGGTAGGGGTTTTGTTTGTTGTTGTATTGAGTTAGGGTCTCACTATGTATCCTGACTGATCTGAAACTCAAGAGTTCCACTTGGCCTCTGCTGCCCAAGCACTAGGACTAAAAGGTGCTGCCATCACACACATAGGGGCATTTCATGTCCAAACTATAGCATCTGGGAAGCAGAGGCTTGGTGTTAAAGATGAATGGTGAATAAGACTATCATGGAAGCAGCTTACCTGGCCTGCTCAGGGTTGGGACAGATCATCCTTCCCACCTGACTTAGATCCCTTCATCTTTGTTGACAGGAGCAGAACCCTTCCAATGTCTCTGTACCAGCCCAGACTGCCAACGTGGGAACCCAGCCTCCTAGTGTCTCTGTGGCCAGCACTCACAACAGCTCCCCATATCTCAGCAGCCAGCAGCAGGCCGCTGTGATGAAGCAGCACCAGCTGCTTCTGGACCAGCAGAAGCAGAGGGAGCAGCAGCAGCTCCAGCAACAGCAGCAGCAGTTCCTGCAGAGGCAGCACCTTCTAGCCGAACAGGTAACAAGCACAAGAAACCACACAGGCACCACTTGACCATGTTTGCACCCAAAGTCAGTGCTGTGTCCTTTAAAATCCCCTTTTAAACCCAGCAAGAATCCAAAGCCGGTAAAGTGCTTGTCAGCCTGATGACCTGAGTTCAGTCCCTGTAACCCACTGGGAACCAACTCCACAATGGCCCTCTGACCTCCATACTCTTCCCCCAGGCTTGCACGAATACACACGTGCACACACACAAAAAAAGATACTCTTTTTAGAAATTAGGACCAGCTGAGCTGGAGGTCATATTGCTCTTGCAGAGGACCTGGGTTCTGTTCTGAGCACCCTCATCGGATGGTTCCTAACTGCATATGCCTCCAGTTCCCAGGGATCCAATCTTCCTGCTCACCCCTGTGGGCATTGGCATGTATGTGTACACATAAACTCACACAGGCAATCATACATACAAGTAATGTTTTTAAAAATATGTACTAGGCATAGTAGCATACTCCTTTAATCCCAGCACTTGGCCTGGAGGCAAAGGCAGGTGGATCTCTGAGTTCAAGGCCAACCTGGTATACATAATGAGTTCCAGGACAGCCAGAGCTACATAGTAAAACACTTTATCAAACAACAATAAAAATCTTTTAATAATCTTTTAAAAAGACCAGTGAGGTAGCTCAGTAGATAGAAGTCTTTGTTTGCAACTCTGCCAACCTAAGTCTGATCCAGGGTCCCACAAGGTGGCAGGAGAGGACTAACTTCAGCAAGTTGTTCTCTGGTTTTCACACTATGCACACATTCATACACACACAATAAATAAAAATGTTTTCCAAGTTTTACTTCACTTTTTTTAAAAGAATGCTTAAAATGTTTTTAATATTTAAAATAAGTAAATAGAATCTCCTTTGCAAGGCTGTAGCATTTCTTAGGCATGTGGTCTATGGGAGCTAATAAAGACAGCTCCTTCATGTATAAGGGACATTTTCTTGTGTTTCCATCCAGACACACAGGCCATCAGTCACTGTGGATCTTTCTTGTTATAAACATGTAGTGTGAGGAACCAGAGCATGAAGAAGGAAGTAAAGATGCCCCTGGGGTCCTAAGATCAAGATGTACATTTCCCTTACACTGGGTTACCAGAAGTAGAATGCTGAAACCAGGCAGCCATGAGAGCCTTTGAGAGGTTAAACCATGTCTTCTAATTAAGACAGGAGCCAGCTGGGCATAGCTCTGAGGCAGCTGATGCAGGAGAATTGCCCTCATGCTTAGCTACATAGTAAGTTCTAGGCCAGCCTGAGCTACAGAGTGATACTGTATCTCAAAAGAAGAAAAGAAACCAGGAAATAGCTCACAAGCCTGAGGCCCCTGGAACCCATGTGAAGCAGGAGCACAGGGTTGTAACCTCAGGCATCATAAGTGGAGATGGGAAGCAGAGACCCATCCCCTTGATGCTCAGGGCCAAGAAGCCTGGCTTCAGTATTGAACAGAAAGAAGCCCTGTCACAGCACAAGGAAGAAGACAGATCCCCGCATGCAGAGTTGTCCTCTGACACACACCATGGCACATGCCTGCCCACACATACAAACACAAAGAGAAGACACTGGAACCGACTCCAGAGGCTACACTTTGCTGAGGTTGGTCATTGCCATAGTTCCACCATCTTTTTTTTCCCCCTTTTTTTGATTTCTTAGGGCAGTTTATCTATGTAGTCCTGGCTATATGGGAACTTGCTCTGTAGACCATACTGGCCTCGAATTCAGAGATCTGCCTGCCTCTGCCTCCTGAGGGCTAGGATTAAAGGTGTGCATCACCACTGCCAGGTCCACCATTTTTTTAAAACTAACCTCTTATTGGGATATAATCCATGTCACATATGCTTTGTTCAAACTACATACTCAGTGTTTTCCATTGTAACTAGAGTTGCACAGTCACTAACAACCCATTTTTATCACCCAGACACTACCATGAGCAGTCGCTGGCCTTCCCTGCACTCACAGGTGCCTGCCCGTGAGCCTCACCTTTGCTTGTGCTCCTTGCTGTCCTGCTCGTTGGTTTTTGCATCAAGTTTTACTGTTTCTGTTCTTGGCACTCTCTAGGAGAAGCAACAATTTCAGCGTCATCTGACCCGCCCACCCCCCCAGTACCAAGACCCAACACAAAGTACCTTTCCACAACAGGTTGGACAGTTCCCAGGTAAGGGGACGTGAAGGAGGCTGTGGGGAAGGCAGCTTCCGCCATAAAGGTGGGTGGAGCTTATGCTGTGTGGTGCTGATGAGTTCCTGAGTTTACTTGCTCATAGAAGCTGTGGTTTTTTTTGGGGGGAGGGAGGTTCAAGACAGGGCTTCTCTGTGGCTTTTAGAGGCTGTCCTGGAACTAGCTCTTGTAGACCAGGCTGGCTTTGAATTCACAGAGATCTGCCTGCCACTGCCTCCCGAGTGCTGCGATTAAAGGCGTGCACCACCAACGCCTGGTGAAACTGTGGTTTGGAAGAGAGGAAGACCTAGATTTTTAGTTCTTTTGTGGCACAAGAAGAGGGTCTCCAGGGTTGACTGTGAGGATGCTCACAGTGAAACAGGCTTTTGGAGGAAAATTATTACTAGTTAGAGGCCATCTTATGTGTATCCTGGCTGTCCTGGAACTCGTGTAGACTAGGTGGATCTCTGTAAGTTCGAGGCTAGCCTGATCTATAAAGCAAGTTCCAGGACAGCCAGAGCTACACAGAAACCCTATCTCAAACCACACCCCCCCCCAAAAAGGGGGGGAAGTGATCTTTGTTTAAAAAAAAAAATAGTCCTTTTTGTCTTCTGAAGAACCTCAAAGCAGGGCTGGAGAGATGGCTCAGAGGTTAAGAGCACTGACTGCTCTTCCAGAGGTCCTGAGTTCAATTCCCAGCAACCACATGGTGGCTCACAACCATCCCTTATGAGATCTGGTGCCCTCTTCTGGTGTGCAGATATACATGGAAGCAGAATGTTGTATACATAATAAATAAATCCTTTTAAAAAAGAAGAAAAAAAAAAGACCCTCAAAGCAAGCTGGCTATAGTGGTGAATGTTATGACTACTTGTGTGAGACCTTGGCGAGTTGGGTCTAAACATGCCATGTAGACGGAGCTTATGTGGGAAGTTTTATTGGAGGAAGCAAAGGGAGAGAGAGCAAGCAGTCTCATTGGCCAGGAGGGGAGGGGCCAACATGAGGGACAGAGAGACAGAGAGCTAGAGAGAGACTCAGGTTGGTGGGGGTGGGGAGAAATAGGAAAAGGAAGAAGAGAAGGGAGTAGGCAGAGTGCCCCCTTAAAGGGACCACACAGCAGGCCAGGGTACTTACTGCCTGACATGTGCACAGGGTGATACACTCTGCCAGGTCCCCAAGGAGGAGGGGCAGGTGTTCCTAGATGCTAACAGTGCATGCCTATAATCCTAGCACTTAGAAGATGGAAGCAGGAAGATCAGTAGTTCAAGGTCATCTTCAGCTTTTAGTTTGAGGGAGCTTGTCTCAAACAAAAACATCTGATTTTCCAGATGAAGGGTTTCTTCCAATGCACCTATGTGGACTTTTGCTTGGCTTGTCCTCACTTTGATGTCATAGGGAAGGCAGAAACACTTGAGCCTCAGCCGTCACCTCTGAGATGGATTGAGCAACTTGTTTGGGTAGATTGCAGGTGACATGTCAGATGTGCTCTGGTCTGGCTTTCCTTTATAACCTTCACTGTGACGTGCCCCAGAGAAACTGGTTACAGCCATGGAAGAGTCTAGGTGGGGTTTCCTGGTATGCTGGCTAAGAATATGGAGTTGAAGCCTAGGTGTCAGAGAAGCCTGTGTCTGGCCTGGGTTTCCCAACTCCATCCCATACCACATTGATAATGGAAATGAAGTAGTCCATTTCAGCTCTCCACTTTTCTTCACCTTTTTGGTTTTTTGAGACAGTTTCTCTGTATGCTCTTGGCTGTCCTGGAACTCGCTCTGTAGATCAGGCTGGCCTCAAACTCACAGAGATCCTCCTGCCTCTGCTTCCCAAGTGCTGGGATTAAAGTTGTGAGCCACCACCCAGCCTTCACACCTATTTTCTAAAAGTGATTTCATTATTTGGGGGATGTTATGTGAATGTGATGCAGGTACCCGTGGAAGCCAGAGCTGTTGGATTCCTGTGGAGCTGGGAGTATGGGCAGGTGCTAAAGACTAAACTTGGGTCCTTGGCAAAGCTCAGGCCAGAACCAATAGGCATGAAGCTCCAGCCAGACATGATGATAATATAGTTCCAGGTCAGTACACAGGTCTCTATAAGAAAGGAGAGAACGGGAGAGACTTTAGTTGGTAAAGTGCTTAGAAAGATGAGGACCTGAGTTGCTCTTCAGTTCCCATGTAAAAGCCTAGCATGTGCATGTAATCCAGGCACCACAAAAACAGGCAGACAGACCTCTGCAGCCTTCTAGTCAGCCAGTCTAGCCTACTTAGTGATCTTCAAGCCAATGAGACACTGTTCCAATAAAACAAGGTGGACAGCTCCTGAGGAACTATGCTTAAGGTCACCCCAAGCCCTAAATTCAATTCTAAGCCCCCTTCTTTCTGAAGACTTTCCCAAATAACCTTCAGACCCCTGCTTCCTATAGCCTGCTGCTCAGACTTTGACCCTGTCACACAGTGTGGTGGCTTTGCCTTCCACAGAGAGATCTGGGGTATCTGCCTTGAAATCCCTACTGCCTAACTAGGTCCCAGCTAAGAACAACTTTGTTGGATGCTTAATAAGTAAATGGACGAGACAGCTGGCTGGCTTTCCCACTCAGGAGCTTCACCCCGTCCTCTGTCCTCTGTCTCTGAATACTGTCATTGCCCCACTGCCATGAGGTATGAGGATTCTGACATGATGCCCATAGAGGAAGAGCTGCAGCTGAGGTCTAGATAATCTCCACTGTGATAGTCAGGGATACCAACATGGGCTGGCAAGATGGCTCAACAAGTAAAGACATTTGCCACCAAGTCTGATGACCTCAGTTTGATCCCTAGAACCCACATGGTGAGGGCAGGAAACTGTACTGACTAGTTTTATATCATCTTGACACAAACTAGAGGTATTTGGGAAGAGGGACTCTCAAATGAGAAAATGCCTCCATCAGATTGGCCTGTAGGCAACCCTGTGGGCATTAATGTGGGAGGGCACAGTCCACTGTAGATGGTGCCACCCCTGGGCTGGTGTTCCTGGGTGTAAAAGAAAGCTGACTGAGCCAGCCATGGTAAACAAGCCAGAAAGCAGCCCTCCTCCATGGTCTGCTTCAGTTCCTGCCTTGTGTTTCTGTCCCTGACTTCCTTCCCTAAATGATGAACTACAAACTATAAGGTGAATCTCTGAGTTTGAGACCAGCCTGGACTACACAGTGAGTTCCAGGACAGCCAGAGTTACCCAGTGAGACCCTGTCTCAGGGAGGGGAAAAAAGATGAAATAAACCTTTTGCTCCCCAAGTTGCTTTTGGTCATGATGTTTATCACAATAGAAACCCTACCTAAGACCAGAAGCAACTCCCACCTGTTGTCCTCTGACTTCACACACTTGTTTGACACATATGCACCTGCACCTGTCCATACACACAAATGTAAAGAAGAAATGGATGCCAACTTGATTGCTACAATTTTCTGTCTTCTAGGACCTTCTGCTGCTGTGCCTGGCATGAACAACTTAGGTCCATCCAATTCCAGCTGTCCTCGAGTGTTCCCGCAGCCTGGGACTC